CTATTGCCTCCTACAGTGTTCTATTACCTATTCAACCAGTTTCTAAACAAAACCTAGAATATTCCACCCAGACACAGTACGGTTCTAGAACATTCTCAGTGACACGGAAGTGATACATAAGTCGTATGCGACAACATACTTTTTCCCAAACTATTTACAGACCCATCTTTTTTTCTATTTTTACTTCTGTTACATCGTATTTAGTTTCTAGTGAAGTATCTCATAACTATTCGTTAAAAATTTCAATAAAACAAACTTCTAAGAAACGTGTTTTCGTCGAATTTAAAGAGCTAATAAAAATGGAATGTAAGAAGGCGAAGTAGAGTATATATATAGGCTTCTAAACAATAGGGATTGTTTCGATACAAGTCTCGCTGTAGTAAACAGCTCCAACGAAGCTCCCGTAACATCGTAAATTCTTCAACTTATAGATCGATTGCGTAGTTTGCTCACTAGTATAAATCTGTCTAAAGTCTGCCTTGCCTTTAAACACTCGGTATTAAGTTTGGGAGACTCGTTTGCTCTGACGCATTTGTAGTTACACTAAAGACTAAAGTCATGATATTATCGATTACTTGGATACTTCTTGTAATTTAAAAATGCGATAGGTCATGTATCTATCTATTTCGAAAATATTTGATCAATTTATTGGGACTTGTTGACATCTGTAAAGTGGAGGGCCATCAAGTGAGTAAATCTATGGTCAAGTTCAGGAAAATGTTTGCTCAATTTCATAAAATTATCATACAAACAGTAAAGGGGTGTCATCACGGAGAAAGAGATTAGATTAGAAATGATTAGATTAGATTAGAAAGAAAGAAAGGTTAGATTGAAATGTTTTATTGAGATCTACTCGAGCATAATTCATCTGGTGCTGGTGTAAATATAAACATGAATGTTTGGATTATTATACTTCAGGTTTGCTGTATTACAATTACCCAATGCCTTTGTTGCGAATATTGACTGAATGTTACAATTTTAAAACATACACCATCTAGAAATGCGAACATTCGAACTAAGTTTAGGTAATAGTCATTTTGAAAAAAATTGTAATGTGAAGAAAAAATTGGTCTTACTTTCACGAGATTTGCTTCACCTCTTCAGGATTCCTGCTTCTTCTCTGCTCGACAAATTAATAATGTTTGCGCCTGTAACTGCTGGTTACTCCTATATGCTTTTCAGTGAAGTACTTTCTAACCAATCAGTGACGATTATGGTTCCTATTTAATACAGCGTTAAAACAATATGTTTTCGTAGAATTTAAAAAGAAAGTTATTGCACAATATAGAGTTGTTTCGCAATATAGAGCTACAACTCCTGTCCTTGACACCAGTTGATCCATCCTATTATAACGGGTAATTTGACAAATGTCCACTACCTACCAAACTCTTTGATATTCTTGTTAGGTGTTAGGACAGTAAAATAATTTCGGTTCAGACCCTTTAGTATACTATAGCTTTTGATATGTCCATTGCCTAAAACTAAAAACGAAAGACTGAAGCTAAATTAAAAAAAAAAACGTTTTTACGTGGCAGTATAAGGACTTGTAATTTCAAAACTGATGTGGACAATAATTTTCATCAAGTCCAGAAAGATGCAGCACTTTTATGTATTATTGAAACTCTGGGACTGTTCTTAGAAACTGTATAGAATCAGATGTTTGCGTTTTTATCTTTGTGCGTAGATACTCAGAAATATATCCTTACCAGGTGGTGGGGATATCAATCTATTGGAGCAGTTGTGTTTTTCGTTTATATTTCTAACATCAACACATGACACACAAAATCCACCCACTTTCGATGGGTCTAAACTTTAGGTTGTTTGATAGGGCGACTATAACGTTTAGGTGACAAAACTTGAGATGCTTAAGGGACAACCAAAGCTGAAGTATGAAAAAGACTTTTTCAAGGCCCATCTTATTCATATGTTTACATCAATATTAAGTTACTTATGTTTACTTTCTAGTGAAGTGTCTCGTAACCATTCGGTGACAATTTCAATAAAACAAACTTTTCTTTGAATTCAAAGATAAAGCAGAATAGCTAATAAAAATGAAGCATAGGAACGTCTCTTAAAGGCTCAAATAGATTATATATATATGCTTCTAAACAATAAGTGTTGTTTCGTTACACGTCTGTAGTAAACACTACCACTATGCAGTGAAATAGTGCTCCCTTCAACTTATAGATCGTCTGTGTGTTTCCAAAGTAGAAGGATGTGACTGTGAATATCACTGCAGTGATTCAATGTTATATTAATGACAATAAATTACATTAAGGTTGCGATTTTGTCAAATAAATGTATAAATGTATTGATAAGATTGAATAATTAACTACTGTCAATCAATACAACGTATCATAGATGCACTAAAATAGCATGCGTTAGTCTAATCGTCACACACATTTACAACACTTCCTAATGTGTTGCTCATTACCACATAGCGAGTTCGACTAAGAGTATATAAGTCACGTTGGCAAATTTGAAACGAAACAAAGAGTTCAAGCCAGAATTACCCCTAGTTGTTTGAAATGAAATTGATACTGTGTTTAGCGTTGTTTACTGTTATGTTACGCTAGTGTGTAGGTGGTGATGTAGACCATATTCCAAAATTAACGGAAAAGAGACTCAATTCGAGACCCGTACACACCTGTATACTAGAACGTCCATGATCACACAATCTCTATAGTTGACGATGATTACAAATTCGACCAATTGTGTTACATGTGACATTAACAATTTAGTTTAAATTTTGCACCTAATACTTATATATTTAATGAATTACACCACCCCTTATGAACTATGATGTTTTGTCGTTCACAAAATCCACCCACTTGTTGAATGTCGATGGGTCTGAACTTTAAGTTGTTGAATTGAGCGACTCTAACGTTTAGATGACAAAACATGAGAATTTAAAAAAAGCTTAAGGAACAACCAAAGCTGAAATATGAAATGCATCTTACTTTTTCGCAAACTTTTTCAAGACCCATCTTCTTCCTATGTTTAGTACTGTTTACATCAATATTAGGTTACTTATGTTTACTTTCTAGTGAAGTGTCTCGTAACCATTCGGTGACAATTGCGATGAAACAAATTTCTAGGAAAGTTTTTTTTTCGTTGAATTCAAAGAGAAAGCAGAATAGCTAATAAAAATGAAGTATAAGATGAAATAAATGTTGAAACCGGTAAACCGACGCTTTGCTAAGCTTGAATAATTAACTGATGTCAATCAATATCACGTATCAGCATGCGTTAGTCTAATCATCACACACATATACAACAGTTCATAATGTGTTGCTCATTACCACATAGCGAGATCAACCAAAAGTATTAAAATCACGTTCGCCTATACATGAAGGTAATTCGAAGTTCACAAAGCCGATTGAAAGAATTGTTTTGTACGAGAATTTTGTGTAATCTCAACTTCCGCTATTCTCTTCCGCATACATATTTTTGAACGAGGTCGCCTAATTTACTCAACTAATCAGTGCAGTGGTATATAGTATATAGGCATATAGGCGAGTTCCGTGTTCCATGAAATACATTCTACAGTTATTCGAAATTATCTATCTATAATAAAACTTACTTTAAGTTATTACCCATGTCGCACAGATCACAACGTATCAGAGCAATGTATGTTTACAAGAAAAATCGTTTACCGGCTTACCAAATGATATTATAAATACACTAAGAAAGGGAACGTTGCTACGGTGGGAATTGGAACTTTTTTCTACGAGAATGGTCTAATCGATCTAAAAGCCAACGAATTCAAGGAAGGTATGCTCGCCAGAAAACGCCAGCTATGAGTTTAAACTTAGTTTTATTGGAATACTTTTTTAAACATAAGACGTGTATTCACAAGACGACATGAAATACATGCATGGGGATTTTCATTCGCTAAAATCTTCTCTCAATTATATAATGCCTATAAAAATCTGCGAGAAAGTAGTTTCGTGTCTTATGCCATATTATTATTTCTATTGTACATACATATTACTTATTTGCGTACTTGTACCTGTGGCCTGAATAAAAATACTTCAATAAAAGTTGCAAGGAAATTGTGTTCAATGGGACGCACATCATGGCGTCTTTCTTTTACAACGCATTCAAAACGAATATATAAAATACACATGAGGTATGACGGAGATACTTCGTTATCCGTGTTGAACACTGCTTTTTTTCTGCGAGGACGAGAAGGTCATACAGACAGGCGAGCCGGCATAATCAAGTAGGACAAGTTCATCAAACATGGAGGAGGCGTATGACCGTTATCAGTTTTTTGTGATAGTATTTTTGATGAAACTAGAATAAAATATAAAATGATATTTGTTTTTATTATCATCACGCACATGTGCAGAATTTATCATCAAACTGATTATCTTCTCAACACGGGACTGTAAAGTAAAGTAGCACATGACCTTGAACACTTGGATCATCGAGAATTACCTGTTTGAAAATGGTCTTGTTTCAATATACGTCTGCAGAGCGACGTTTACACTGTTGGCCAAGCCAGACACACTTGAATTGTGTTTGTAGTTTCGATTGAAGGCAGAATTCAGAAACATGTTTTGGTGAATTGAACACTAAGTAACCGTAATTTATAATTAAAAAAAGTTCATTTAAACTTGTTTTTCAATATGGCAATGTATAACAGACATTATATGAATGTTATCATATTTATACAAAAAAACATAATTACATTAAATAACATCATCTAATCAGGAGGATAATACTGTTAATTCGGTAAAACACTAAAATGTACCGATTCTGAATTTACTATATTTGCAGTCGTGTTTGATTTAGTTGTGTGTTATCTTATGTCAAGGTGCTTTATCTGTGCATGATACTCATGTGATCAAGGCTCTCCGATACTATATATAACCTACTGTATATTGCTTGATCAGTCCCAAGTGCAATTTGAGTGGTTTGTAACACGTTGCCATCAGCGTTCTTCGTCTTGTGTCGATTAGTGTGATATTGATGTTTGTTTCTGGTGTAAAATGATGGTTAAATTACATGACAATACAACGTTTACACTCTGTGTCAACAGCAAAGCTGTTAAGCCATCTAGACATCGCAGTGGGTATTACATCACAGCGAGAACGATATGTTGTCTGAGCGTAATACTTCTTGTGTTGTTTGCTGGCGTCGCCTGTCTGTTCTACTTTGCACCCCACGTCGCATCATCGGGCCAAGAATGTGTTCAGGTGAGTAGATTTAAGGAGACAAACTGTACCATTCCCAAACCAGTAGAACCTAAGGACCCTCCTCCAGAAAAGAGAGACCCGTTTGAAGGTCGTCTCCCTAATTCGTTGAAACCAAACCATTATACCATAAAGTTAAAAGTTTATCTGGACGAAGAGGACAAGGAAGATAGGTTCACCTACGAAGGGGAGGTCAGCGTAGTTGTTCATTGCTTTGAACCGACAAATATTATCAAGATACATAGCAGAGAACTTTCTCTGCAGCAGTCAGATACGCAAGTCATAGACACTGAAGGGAATACAATGACAATAACAAACCAATCCGACGACACGCTTTATGAATTTTTCATCATAGAATTGAGCTCCAATCTCGCTGCAGGCAAAGATTATTTAGTCAGACTTGTGTTCACCGCACCATTAACAAATGATGGTTACGGCATTTACAGAACTTCCTACAACGACCCGGAACCACGGTGAGTTCATATTCGTTGTTCTGAATGAGCTCGACAACAACGAAATCAATTTAACCAAGAGATGGAATTTTAATATACACCTAATCAATACCCAATAGGTGGCTGATAGCATCGCAGTACCAACCCAGTGGGGCACGTCAAGCATATCCGTGCTTTGACGAGCCCAATTTCAAGGCGACCTTTGACATGATTATCATTCATAGAGATACCAGAAATGCGCTGACGTCTATGCCCGTATCGAACATAATTGCTCATGGTGTGGACAACTGGGTTGAAAGTCACTTTCAGACTTCAGTTGTCATGTCAACCTATCTCATGGCTATAGTTCGTTTCTGATTTTTTACATCAGGAGATTATACGAGAGGACGGATTTGTGGTGAGTTAAAATGTCTGTATTTGATGGTTTTAAGGAAATAATATGAGGTGAACACAGCATATGAAAAATACTTATCTATAATTTAATTTAATATATAAGATTAATAATTAACCAAACTTAGAAAAAACTTCCAATGCATCGTTTCACCTCATTTACACTGGTTGTACTCTCCTGCGATTGTGCTGATATTAGGGGGTCATCAACATATTTACGTTCCCAGCGACACATTGGTGACAGGTTTACTAAATATCTTTGAAATTGGAATAAATATTCTTTTCATTCATTAAGATATTTATTATTATCATTAAACATGTATATTTGAGGTATTGCTGAATATTCATTCAGCTTATCAGGTTCTGAGTATATATTTGATTCGATTAGTTTCTTCAATTGAACTTTCATTATTATTTGTTTGTTATGTATCTTTATCTAACACTAGTACCGGGTATGGGCACAACCTTCTCTCATACATGCAACTAATTATTCACTGGAAACCGGAAATGCCATGCTAGCATATTATGAGAAATACTATGGGGTGCCCTATCCTTTGCCAAAACTTGGTAAGTATGTTGCATTATATAGTACTCGTCATAAAGTGTCAAGTTCATTAATTGAACTTACATTACAGCAGAATATTACTTCTCACCACAACATCTGTAAATATATATTTATTTTTACGAAGGCGTGATAATTTTCTTTAATATTTTATTGATCTCCTTTCCTTTTGTATTGATTTTCAATCAAGTTATAGTCTGAAGTATGCAGATATTATATTGTTTAACGTTTTAATTTTACTAATTATACATTTTACTAATAATTCATGTTTACAAATTCTGTTGATTGTAATTGTTGATGTACGTTACATTACGTTATATAGACAGTGTTGCTGTACCCGGCACTGGTGGTGGTATGGAGAATTGGGGACTTGTAATATATGGCGAAAGCGAAATGACTTACGATGAAATGGTTCATTCTCCAAGTAGAAAGCAGTCGGTAGCTTCTATCACCGCACACGAAGTCGTACATATGGTAATCGAATTGTTATATAGATGTTAGTTATTATGGTGGCATTGGTGAAGTATGGTCATGAATTTAGTAATATACTATGTGATTGGGGATATATGCCAAGTACAAAAACCATAATACAATAAGTATGATTGATTTAGAAATAATCTAAAAAAATACTAAAGATCTCAAACTGACTCTGCTCCATGATTTTGTAGCCAATCTTAGGGCCTATTATATGGTATTAAAACGGGCAGACATATATACATTAAGACTATATAATAAGATAAGTGGCGAAGTGCATATGCCGAGTTGTGAGTTCGATTCTCGTGTTTATATGTTCGTATAAGTGCCTGCGATTTCGATGAGGGCATTATGAATCAAGTTCTAGGGCAAAAAAAAATAGAATAGATTGAGTTGATCTATTTTTTATTTATTCAATTGTGAAGGGAGTCGACAAATATGCACTGTATAGGATGTGCAAAATAAAGATTGCCGATAAAAAATGGAAGTTCATTTGACAATGTCGCCAACGCAATAATAATAACGCAACGAGTGGGGACTTTTGAATACTTGTGATACAAAGTTTTATATCATGTCACCTAGACAAACAACTAATCATATAAATTCACCAACTGTAAATGTTCAATATACAGTGGTTCGGTAATCTTGTTACAATGGATTGGTGGGACCATCTATGGTTGAATGAAGGATTTGCAACCTTTACCGCGAACATTGGTGTTGATTTTGTGGAACCTGGACTCACAATTGTAAGTACTTATACAACTTGGAGAAATAGTTGCAGTATGATTCGCGTAAAAATGGGAATATCATATAACATGGTTCGTAATGAAATTTATGCTTGCAGTGGGACCAGTCTGTTGAGGGACTCCGCTGCGGCATTCAGAGTGGATTCCCGTTCGTCTACTTCTAGACCAATCATAGTGGAGACAGGGTGGAATGATGAGGTCAAGGGAATGTTTGATGGAATAACTTACACCAAGGTGAGATTCTAAAATAATTGCGCCTTGGATCATTTGATAATCACATTCTGTTTTATCGGTTTCAGTGATGATAGATTGCTTTACTATACATTAAATGCTTAAGCTAATCATAATCAGAGGTATTGGGCATCGTTCGAATCAACAGCATCAATAAAAACAAAGCCGACTCAAACACTAAGTAGAATGTATGTAATATAGAGTACTTTTCCTCCACCAAGGGTTCTGCTATCGTTCAACATATGAAATGTTTCTTGAGTGATGAAGTCATAGACAGTGGGATAAGTGACTATTTCAGAACTTATGCATACGGTAATGTGGTCTCTGATGATCTGTGGATGACACTGACAAAAGTAAGTTGAAATGCTGAAATGTTTCCTGTAATGACTTGAAGCAGGATAATATTTCGTGTTTTCGAATTAACCAATTGAATTTTGTACTAACTGGGATACATTGCTTAACATTACACTGCAGTCTCTTTAATTATCATCATCGCTAAAGAGACATTTTAGTCGTATTTATTAAGCATACATGTGTGTCAGCTAGCATGGAATTAACCTAGGGTGTACACATGTTTGCTCTTATAGGCTGATGTCGGTCACAAGAACACTAATGTGAAAAAGGTGATGGACACGTGGACTCTACAAGCAGGACATCCAGTGGTCACAGTAAACCGTACCGGCCCAGACACTGCAGTGGCAACCCAGCAATACTTTATGATGGACCCACATGATTTCTATGATGCCAAATACAACCACATGGGGTACAAATGTTTTCATCAAGTCTCAGATGTATTGGGGCAGTAGTTTAGCAAACTTGCATATTTATCAGTACTGTAAAGCTTTATAGATTTGTATAAAATAGTGCTTTAGGGAGTACTAGAAATGTGTAAGTCATCTGGTCAAACCAACGAAGTTGGCGAACAATTGAACAGGTTTGCTAACTTGCTGACCAATACATCTGAGACATGTGTAAGCATGTTCCAATCATGCAGCGCTTGTGCACAAATCGCCATCATTGATTACAAGACATATTATTATTATATTTGTGAATCTTAATGGACCAGCAACTAAAACTAGCAATAATAATTATAGTAAACACGTTAATATAATACAGGTACACGTGGTATGTTCCATTGACGTATACATTTGGAAATGACCCTGATTTTGACAAGCCAGAACAAGCCTGGCTTAACAAGGACGAACCAGGTAAGTAGTATTTAGTATTATTTACATATTTATGTCATAAGAGATCATGTGACATATCAGTCCCAATTGATGAAATGTGACATAATGGCACGATCACGAGGGATGAAGAGTTGTATTCATAGATGTTCTGAGATTCACTTTCCATTTCAGGGGTATTAAATCTTAGTAATGTTGGTGAAAATGATTGGTTACTGGTTAATGTTAATAAGTGGGGATTCTACCGTGTTAATTATGATGATGATAACTGGGGGAGATTGGCGAACCAACTGAAACATGACTATACGGTAAACAACGATTTAACAGTCTTTTTTTCTTTCGTTAGCTCAATTCACGATGTTGCCCATTGTAGGTAACAATTGCGCTAATTTTGAAATTATTGTGTACTAGAAGATCACATACGTCGATGTTTCTAGTTTACCTAACTGAGTCCATCTATTATAGTAAATCGAAGTTTCACACAACAAATATATAACTATAAATATATTTTACTATGTTCTTTAATTAGGTGATCCCAATTAGGTCACGTACTTCCATAATGGACGACGCATTCAAGATTTCGCAACCAGGCCACACAGACCACGTGAACGCCCTTCGATTAACAGAGTACATGGACAAAGAATTCGAATATGTACCCTGGGATAGCGTTATTGGCAATATCGAGTTCACGCGTAGTATGCTGATGAGGACCGCAGAATATGGAATGTTTGAGGTATTTCTGTAAATAGCATCATGAAACCTGATTTTAACTTGTGTTAATGTGATCGTGAAACAGTGATTGAACAAGTTAATTTTTTCAATAATGCGACCATTTATTAGTACTGTATGCATGCATAAGTCGTTGTTATTTTATTGATGATATATCAATGTGGGGTCATTGTGTTATTCGAATATATTATCATGGGGCGTGTATAGATACATTAGTAGGTAACTCAAAATGCTTTTTTCACTTCACGTCGCCGCTTTCTGGTCAAACATCGCGACGATTTCACCTATTAGGTATTTTCATATATGTTGTTAGTGGTAATACATTTTTTTTCAATTATCAGATATACTGGCGTCATCAAATCACACCCGTTTACGAATCACTGGGATGGGATTTCTCACAAGGAACTGATTTAGATTAGTGAGTGTGAAACCAATGTATCTTAATATTATTTGCAAATTGTCAGTGGACGTTCGAATCTTCTGTTCATGCCTTCAAGTAGCGTAATTATAATATTACCAAGTGATGAATAACAGTGTGAAATAAAAATAAGCATACATAACAAATGATTTACATATCACACAAGACTAAACGATTGTAATGTTACATCATAAGCTTCTCGTGGATGTCATGATAGAACCATGATAGAATCACAATAGAATGCATCCACGTCAGTAATACAAAGCAAAGGATTTTAGTACTTTACAAAACTAATTACATTGATACACATTCTCGCGTGATATGCTAATAATAGGATTATATCAACCTCGAATTTCTGAAATTTTAGCTAGAATAATCCATGAATCACATATTGTTATTTCCTTTCAAGTTTCAATCGTGTCAATGCTATTGATACAGCATGTCTTTACGGCAACAAGGACTGCGTTGAACAGGCACTGGTACAGTTTAGAGACTGGATGAATACTGGGGACAATGCGTATGTATAACTTACCAGTATTGATCAGACAACCGATGTAGTGCATGTGTCATTTCTTCATACCAGAATCAATAGAAACTAAATTTCGAAATATGCGTTTGGCAAACGGGTCGTATTCTGATACCTCTGTCAATAACAAAAATTGCTTTCGCCATGTCATTTTACAGGATCCGTGATGAAGTAAGGCCCACTGTCTATTGCACAGCAATCAAGCATGGCGGCGTAGAAGAATGGGAATTTGCATACACTCAGGTTATAGAAGGATCTCTTGGTTTAATCGAAATTAAACGATTGCAGAATGCCATGGGCTGTACACGAATGTCATGGTTGTTACAGAGGTACTCTCAACTAGAAAATCTATCACATTTGCATCATATAAACAAGAAATTGCATAATGTAAATTGCATATTTTTCTAGAACACGGACAAATAATAAACTTTATTTCAAAATCTTTCGAATTTTTTGATATGAGATACTTATATAGGATACAAATCATCAGCAATAAAAATCGAATACCGTATTTTTTCGAAAAAATTGCTGATTTTATGTCATATGTGTCGTTCGAGTAGAGGGCGTGGCTATGAATTAGTCATGTGATTACTATAATGTGTGCAATAAAAAATCAACTAACAGAACTAATTTAAAAGTTATAAAATTTGACTATGATTTACAAATTATTTACATTTGTTTTTATTTAGTATATTAAGTGCAGATTCTTCCATTTTTCCAAAGCGAAATGTGACAATATAATAATCACTGATAAGTATATAACGTATAACTTGTGGTTTTTGACTATATAGATATCTTGAAGACGATGCATTTGACACGATAACTGTGATATCTGAAATTCGTGATAAATCATCCATTGGTTATTCTGTGGCTTGGGATTACACTATGAACAACTTCGACAGCTTAGGGTAAGTAACAGTGGATATTGGTTTGTTGTTTCGTGAGTCAAGGTGATTTTACTGAGTTATATTGTATTTTTCTTTTTTGTAGCCTGCTTACAACACAGTATGGGAGTTTCAGACTTGGATGACACCGACTATGATTATGAACAGGTACTTGACATATACACTTAGTGACTAT